GAACACTTTGAGGGGAAGGCTTCTTTTGTTTCATCTTTGTGCCTAGCATATAGAAGATACTTGAGTATTTGTTGAATTGTATTTACCTCTTTACCCCATCACACTATTACATATAGTAGGTGTTCAATTTGTGCAGGTTAAATTGAATCTCCTTTGTTGCATTTCATGGTGTTCACTTTCTTCTCTATGTCTAGTTCAGTGGTTGTCCACCACATTTCAATACAGAAAAGTACTAACACTTTATATGGTGTTTCTTTTCATTCAGGTGATAGAGAAATCAAAGATACAACCTGAGAATGAGAACAGGGACACTGGGTAGGGCAGAACACAGCCCTTCATGTGCAAAGTGGCACTTTGCCAAATGATCACTTTCACAGCTAATCAGGTAGGTTTAGGAGGAATATAATATGATCCCTGGGCCAAGTCTGAACGAATAATTCACTAGCACACAAAGAGAAAAAAAAACAAACAAATACTTTGGCATGATTTTCTTCATCAGATAAAATTAACACAATCTTAGGCTGCATTAATAAAGTAGAGTATCCAGAACAAGGTAGAGAATGATCTGACTGTATTCTGCCCTGGTCAGGCATCTAAAGTACTGTGTTTAGGTATGTGTGCAACTGGAAAGTCAAACTAGACTTAGTACAAGTAGTTAGATAAGCCTCAAATGAGCCTAAAGTTACAAGCCACCATGACATATTCATTGGACAATAAACCTTGGAACAGGGAATGGGTAACCAGAAACAAAGAGAATAAAAGGAACCAGTTTAGTAAGGTGATAAATTCAAACCACTACAGCTGGGAAGAACACCACAATGAAACAAATAAAAGCTTTGAGCTAACTCACTACATGTAAGTATGATAGGAAAAAAAATCTTGGAGCCAAAATGGACAAGATGCTGATGAATTTCCATTTTATCATGGTAATTAACTAAACAGGCTCAGTGATAGGATTACTTTTTGATCATGACAAAAGCAACGTGGCACATTCAAAATGTAATTCTTGCTTTGTAAAGAATTTCTCAGATCCTTCTTAGTATTTAGTGCTAGGTTCCATTATTAGAAATACAGAGAACTTGAAAAAGGTTTAAATGAAGATTATTAAATGAGGAATAGGGTTATTTGATGTTAAAAAAAAAAAAAGGAGGAAAGAATGAAGGATATCTGAACAATGATTAATATGTATATAAGTAGTTCTCAAATAGGGTCAGTTAGCAAGTACTTATTGAACATTCCCAACATAAAGAAAGAGACCAGATCTTACTGGACCACACTGAAGAAAGAGAAAGAGGAATTTATCTTAATTTACATTATTTCAGGATTCAGACAGATAAAAAACAATTCAGCAAGCATTCATGAAGTACCTACTATATGCTCAGCACCATGGTAGGGGTAGCACAAGAACAAATAAGGCATGGTCTGAAGTTTGTACAAGACAGTAGGTACGTGAACAAATGCTCTACTGTGTGGTCAGTGTGTGGTCAATCAATAAAGCATTTCCTAAGTATCTACTATGTGTCGGGTACCGTGTTAAGATAGGCCCTGTTTTCAAGGAGATTACACTCTAATGGTGCAAACTTGTAATTACAAGAGGAATTTACAGATGGTTAAATCTAAGGGAGAATTTTTTTGATATGACATAGAAAGTTAATGAGAAATTTTGGAATTTCCTTCATTGAAAGGCATTTTTATAAGGATAATTTCTCATCAGACAGAGAAGGACAAATAACTTCATCTTTTTCTCCTCAGTTTCCTCACCTATAAAATGACGGGATTGGGATTAGAGAACAGCTAAGTCTCCTCCTAGCTCGAAATCTAACCTCCTGAAATACTATGATTATTTTCTGCTGTGATAAGTGTAAGGCTCAGTTGAGGGTGGACACACAAATGTAATTGCTTTTCATCACTTCCTATTGAAAGAATATTATCTGCTCATGGCCTTGTTGTTTGTGAAAGGAAGGACCACTGGACTGGGAGTCAGAGAGGCCGAGTGCCAATCACAGCTCTTCTACTTAACACTTGTGTGACCTTATCAGTCCTCTCCAGGTTTAACTCTGATATGTTGTGTGATAATAAAATTCACCGATCAAAATCGTTACCAAAATCAATTTTGATATTCAACCTTGCACCATCACTATTTCAATAATTAAAAATACTAATAGAATCAGGAGTGCAGAGATTGCCTAGTTCAACCTCCCTGTTTTATAGATGAGAAAAACAATGCCCTGGAAAGTTAAATCATTAGTTTTATTGTCACAGTTAGCTGAAGGGCTAGAAGTAGAATCCAAATCTCTTCAGTCCTAGTCTAGGCCTCTTTTTGAATGAAATCATGACTATTCATCTGGATCTTGCCCATTTCAAACAACTCATAATTGCCTGTCATAATTAAAGACATGCATGAAATGGATACCATTTTTGAGTCAATAATATCTTTAGTAAATTAAAGACTCTAGGTGACTATGGATCCAATTTGACTTTAGCAAGGCATTATAATGTTGACATGAGTGGCAGTCAAGCTAATTGAGCTCCCTGATTCTTGTGGTTGGAGTCTGAAATTGGTATAAGGCTGTTCAACTTGTACTACCTTCCTCAGCTGGAGACTGGTCCCCAGGAGAAAAAATACGAAACAAAACAAAGCTTTTCTTAGTTGGAGCCACTGCCTTTAGCCTTCAGTTTAGGAGGATTTGTAGATCATGGAAAAGAATACCAGATATGGAGCATCACACCCTGGGTTCACATATTGGTTTGGATTGGGTACTTACTACTTGTGTTCTCTGTGCTTCAGTTTACTCATACGTAAAATAAAAGTGCTGACTTAGATCATCTCTAGTGGGGAGATAGGACCTTTGATCACGATCACTATCTGCAAAGTTGACTTTAATAAATATCTACTAAGCACCTACATACGTGGCACAGAGGAGATTATGAAGTAGACAGCAGTTCACCTCCAGGACTCTATCTCTCAACCTAGATACCCAACCTCAGTACCACATCTTCTCGACTCTGATGCTCAAAGCTGCCCCTAGTACCATTACCTTTTCTTCCTCCTTACTAAACACTAAATCCTACCTGTCTTATGTTTAAAAAATCACTGAGGGCCATGGATTGACTTAAAAAAAACACAAATTAGTATTATCTGTGTTGTATTGTATTTTTATTTACTTCATTAAACATTTCCCCATTACATTTTAATTCAGTTTAGGCCACCCTCAGGAGTTTTGTGGGCTGCACGTGGCTTGTCAAGAGTATGCCACCTCTGCTATACCCCACAAAGCATCAACCACCTAAGTGCTTTTGCCCTTCTCTGAACTCCAGTGTACTTACTATGTACACTCTACTTAGGGACACTAAAAATAATAGATGACTCTGCTTATTCATTGAAGAGGTATATTTCAACAGGAGAAAAGTGGGTTGAGCTAGCCTTTTATTTAAAGTGAAAAAGGAGCAAGGAGAAAGAAGGCTTAGAGACCAACAAAATTGTATTGACCAGAGGATGAATAATAACTATGATAGTCTTGGATATAATTGGAGAGCAAGGGGAAATTACTGGAAACTTTTAGTCTCTTGGATGATGCAGTGAGATTGGAGCAATATCAAAGGGTTGATTGAGCAAGAAAGATTGTTCTGGAGCGAGAGGTTTGTGGATTGACTGAAACAACATGGAGTCTAGAGACAAGGAGAGAATAACATTCCTAGAACAGGGTCTCACGCAACCCTACAGAATCGAAAAGTGATTTAATATCTGTTGTGTTCCTCATTGGCTTTCAACACTCTGAAAAGGAATCTTACGTGTTGAACAGTGAGGCAAGGAGATGGGAGAGAGGCCTGTGCTGCTGGCTTTTCTTTCCCTACTCTCTTGTGTACCAGGTCTGTAGAACTTTGTGTTTCAGAGGGGACAGAGAAGTCAAAGGAAGGCTATATAGCTGGTCCTAAAGCTGTAGCTGAAAGATAAGAATCTCAATTTCTGAACCCACTTTAAAGTGGATATGTACAACACTTTGGGCTGTGAATCAGTAATAAATAGACCATTCTATCATGTACCTGCAGGCCTCTTGGAGTTCCCAGGGTTGTCTTGCAGAGGCCATTAGCTGCCTTGGAGCTACTAACCCCCACTTTCATTCATTTTATTAGACGAAACAGGAGGGTTGTTAAAGGTGGAGAAAAACTGCTTAATAGAGCTTGAGCTCAACCTGAGAACAGTAAAAATGTCCCTGATACTCACTGTCATGAATATTCAGAAAGAAAACCCAACTGTGATCAATTCATACTCAAGCCTAAGGGATTCTACACCCATTACTTAATGGTGGAAAGGGCAGCATGGAAGTCATCTTTCTGTATTAACCATTCACAAGGGATGACAAATAAACACAAGTAAGGAGAGGAAATAAAGCATAAACTTATTAAAGAGTATGACCTAAAATTTTCAGGTGATATGTCAAGACTCAAAGACAGAAATATTTCTATACTACACATACAAAAATGTATCAAAGGCTTCATAAGCTGTTTGTATTACTGCTGTGGCAATACTTCCACTTCTGAGATCAAAAATATATTACTTAAGCTAATTTGATTTCTTTGTGTGGGAATTTTAGGGGTTTTTTTAGATAACAGAAAGGTCAAATTTTTACTCACAATACAGTGTGATTTCTTAGTTTACAAAAAAATGTGGTTATACCACAAGTGACCTGAGGAGAAAGCACATTGTAACATTATATATAAAAATTATGTTCATAGCTAATAGAATAGGAATAGTAAGTCACCAATCCAATGTGCTGTCCCCAACAGCTAGTAGTGAAATGCATAATCTTGACATTTCCCAATAAGTGTCCAAAATTGGATCTGACTTTAAAAAAAGGCCCATCCCTCTTCCCCTATCAACAAATTAGATATTATTTGAGAAAAGTGTGTTCTTAAGAACTTGGAAGCAAGACCTTTCTAAGGGATGTTGCGTGCAAGGCAATAAAGGGAATCAAAGAGTAAGAAAAAAGTTGACTAACCTAACCCACCTGAGCTCGGCTCACAGGGATCAATGTCCTCATCATCACTGGGACATTCAGCAGAAGCCACAAGGATGTCATCTGTGGTCTGCAAAGAAAACAAATTCAGAAGGTTTACTCAAAGGAACCCACAACATTTTGTTATCATCATCATCATCGTCATCTTCATCCTTATCATTTGTTACCATTGACAACAAAGTAGTACACAAGATAGAACACAGAAAATGAAGTCAAGAAGACCTGAGTTTGAATCCTGCTTCTGACATTTATTAGCTATGTGACAATGGGTAAGTCACTTAACCTCTCTTGTCCTCTGATTGCTCATCTGTAAAATGAAGCAACTGGATTTAATAGCCTTTAATGTCCATGTTTTTCCAAATGTATGATCCAATGAATATATGAAGCATAGTTCTAGCTTATCAAACAGACTGAGTGGATAAGATAGACCAAATGTAATCATCTCCTTTACCAAGACAATGATACAAATGTTCATCTTACTTTTCAGTGGCAACTTACAAATATCAAATGCTTACAATAAAATCTTAGTAGTAGACATCTTTGTGCTATAAAGGGTATGGAAAATGGTGGAAGCTCATTAGGACATACTATCTTTCTTTAATAGATAAGTTACGAACAGTTACTCAGAAAAGGCTAGTGAATAAATAGAACAAGTGGAATTTACTGCAGGCCCAGGGCACAACACCACATGCACTGGTGGGTTTTCTGCATTGTCTGTGTCTGCATGTCTGAAAACAGCAATAATAACATGTTATCCAGAGTTCTATTACTTGGATTTTGAGAATGTGTGATGATGGTTAAGTGCCTTCATGAGGAAACACAGACTAGCATGAGATCCCTACCTATGTTTTACAATAGAACAAAAGGAAGAAAACAGGGTATACCAAAAGGCATTTTCCTCACAAGAGTTAAGATTCTACATTCAAATCTTAGCTTTATGGGGTTTAGACAGTGTTGTGTCACTATTTTCCTTTTGATTATTAAGGCTTCCTAATAAATTAAAGTTCAGGGGAAAATACATTTTATAGCTGATAGAGTAATAAGAAGTGGCAGTTTTCCTTTCAATGTTTTAATTTTCACTGCATTTACAGCAAAAAGATAGTTCCCTAGTCAACTATGCACTATTCTCCACCCACAATTCCCTTGCCCCCTTGTTGTTCTGCTGTTCGTGCCTAATAATCCTCAACACTGGGTCACTCCTAGCATCCATTATCTCTTCTCCTACTCCCTAGTAGTGGAAGGCTACAAAAAAAAATCGGGAAATTGCTATAAATTGATAGCTAATTTCACCTGGGACCTTACCATGACATAGCAATCTTCTGATTGGCTCCCTATCACACTTTCTACCGAGACTCTTTCCAAATCTTCTCCTCAAACTCTGACTATATTCTCTACCCCATCTCTCAGCAGATGTATGACCTTGGCTACTCTCCTAAAATCAAGGCCACCTGTGGTGAGATCACTCCATTCCCCATGACATATCTCAAAATATCTCTATAAATTTACTCCTTTGCTACATTTTTAGAAGATAATGTGACTTCTCCACGCTCAACTGCTCCTCTTTGATCTTATAGTCTCCCTTTTTCTCTTCCTCTCCCTCTCTCCCTCCCTCCTTCACCCTTTCCGTCTCTCTGTCTCTCTCTCTCTGTCTCTGTCTCTCTCACCTCACTCTCTTCTTCCTCTTTCTTTTCAGTCCTCTCATTCACTCCCTCTTTTATTTTCATTTTCAATCTTTTCTTATCTATAGGCTCCTTCTCCACTGTCTAACAAACCTACTTTGAATTCTACAATCCCATCAAACCATCACAGTATATCCTTGGCCCCCTCCTTTCAATGTTAAGTTCCTATAAGATGTAGTCTATCCATTTTTGTGGCGTCATTTTCTCATCACTTCTGATAGGTGAATCTTTTGCTTTTTTACTAGTTGCAAACCACTTCCTGCAGTCTCTTGATGATGGTCACAATTTCCAACAATCTTCACCCCACTATAAACTTGAACCTCACTCCTGGCCCTCCCTGCTACAAGTGCCTTATTTTGCCAGGACCCATTCTTCTTCACTGCTTCCTGTAGTCTCCTCACCCAAACCCTGTATGGAAACTGTCTCCCCAGTTACCAGCATTATTTTATATGTAGTCCTCCCACCCAATAGAATGACTTCCTTTAGGGCAGAGACCGTCTTCTTTTCTTATATTGTAGAACAATGTCTGGCAAATGGTAAATGCTTAATGAATGTCTGTCTATTTATCTATCTGTCGCTACCTGTTCACTCATTAATTCCTTGACTGTCCTAGGCAATCACCCAAATGGTACTGAAACGTGTCTCTCAAAGGTCACCAATGATTTCACCTTAATTTCTAAATTCAATGCTTCTCCCCAGCCATCATTTCCTTTGACCTTTCTTCAGGACTGAGTACTATTAATCACCTATTCCTCACCTTCCTCTCTTGCCTTCTAAGACACATTGGTTTTTCTTCTTCTACCCCTCTTACTACATGTCTCTCAGTCTCTCATTATCCTCTTACCCCCTCGAGTGTCTCCAAAGCTTGATCCCAGGCCATCATTTCTCTCTATATTTTCTAAGCACTTAGCACAGTGCCTGGCACATAGTTCGTGATATATTCTGTATTCTTTTACTTCCATATGCAAATGAATCCCAAATCTATATGTGCAGCCCTAATTTTTTTTGCTGGGTTGAGTTTTCAATACCTTGTTGGACATGTTTACTAGGATTTCCTGGAAGCACCTCAAACTTCTCATGTGCAAAACTTAGCATCTTCCACTCTAAACCTGTCCGTCCTCCCAAATTCTTTATTGCTGTTGATGGCACCACCATCTTCCAATCACTCAGGCTTAAATATTAGAAATTTTTAAAATCTTCTATCTTCCTCAACCCCCACTTCCAATTAGTTCTGAGGTACTGCTCACTCCACACCAGTTGTCTCATTCATCCCTTTTTCTCTATTCACACCTGCCAGTACCCTAATTCAGACCCATAAGTTGTATAGAGTCAGCCTGTCAGTGAAAAGTGGAAATTTGGACTCAGAGGACCTGGATTCAAATTCTGGCTCTGTAGTAACCCATATGACCCTGTACCAGTCACTTTACATTTCTAGGCACCTGTTACTTCACACGACTTCAAAAAAATCTTCTTAATATTCACTCCCCTTTTCAAAACCTTGTATCTCTATTGCCTATAGGATAAACCACAAACTCCTTACCCTGGCATTTAAGCTCTCTACAACCTAGTTCCAACCTGACCTTCCAGGCTGATTATACGTTATTCCGTCTACTCCATGATCCAGCCATAGTAGACTCTTATTCTTCAAATGTGATGTGCTATCTGCCATCTCTGTGTTCTGATAAGCTTCTTAATAAATATTGGTTGGATTGAATTGAATATAAAAGCAGAGAGGTCCACATGATCTAATTGTTTGGTCACATCACCAATCCATTTATAAACACCAAAGGTTGATTTTTCCTCCATTTTTACACTTACGTGCAACACAAAACCCTACCTAGCTATTGTATGCAAATAGTGAGCTTTAATGCAAAATGGTTAAGGAAAGAAATATTCTGAGGCAGAAGAGGAAAAGGAGTTCATTATTTCTGCTGGGAATTAAGGAGATTATGCATATTTAGACATTAATAGCAAGTGCAAAATGGATTTTAAATACTCAATTAAAAGCACTGAATCAAACTAGCCTTGGTCCTAGTTCCAAGAGAAAAGAACAATGTGATGTAGGATTCTTTTCTTCATTAAAGAAGTTCTAAATATATTTGCAAATCATAATGGGAATAAATAGGTTACAAAAAAAGGGGAAGAGGGATGTGCCAAGGAGATAGAACTAGGAATGGGAAACTTCAAAATGCAAAGAGACTTTAAAAGATGAATTAAGAACTAGCTCAAATGAAAATGAAGAAGTATTGATCCATAATCTAAATATAAATAACAGCAAAGGCATGAGTTAGCGTGCCAGTCGGGGACTGTTCCATAAGGCTTAGCACTTAATCATTTTGAGTCTTTGTAGAAGAATTTCTTTCTTTTTTTCTGCTGCTTTTATTTGGAAAGAAAAGTTCAAAACAGTCAGTTTTTTAAAAGGAGCTACAGTTATTAACGCCTATGATAAATGCTAGCAATTTGCATGAATGTCAGGTCGGGATTCTTTGATTAAACAAGGATTTAAAAGGCAAAGGAACAAATGTCCTTTTGGCCCAGAAAGTTCAGTTGGATAACATGAAAACTGATATGATAATAACAAGTGATTCAATTACACGGCCTTGTAGGTCAACTGTTCCAGTTCCCCTTACAAAAGATAATCTGTTTTTCAACAGCCAGATTTTTTTATTGGAAAAGTTACTTTGATCATAAATAACAGGTGTGTGTGTGTGTGAATAGTAGGTTTTAATTTTTTTAATTTTAAATATAATTTGTCTTTTTTTTCCATTTAGGTAATTTGATGTTTAGTTAAAACTAATACATATAGTAAGAAATACTAGGAAGGAAAAAAAGCTGAAATTAAAAAATGTCTGTATAGTGCCACATTAGCAACAAATTGCATTTATCTATTTGTATTAAATTGCTACATGTATAAATAATCATAGCTCTAGAACTGAAAGGAACCTAAAATGGTAGATGTGAAAATTGACATATGGGTTAGTCTCAGTGGCTTGCAAGTCTATTTATGCATTGATGTCATGATAGAGGAATTGCATGGTGTAGTGAATAGAGGTCTGGCCTTGCAATCAGGAAGACGATGGTTCAAGTTCTGCCTCTGATACATACTAGCTGTGTGACACCTGGGCTGTCACTTAACTTCTTAGTGGGCTAGCTAACCCAGTAAGTGACTAAACTACATGCAAGTTGTTGATCTACTGATAAAATCACTGGTGTGGACAAAAGACAAAAAGACAAATAGTGGGTGTATTGGGACTCTGGCCATCTGCTTCTCCACTATGAGTCGGAGTGGTCATAATTGCAAAGTGTTCACTTTCATATTAACTTGTGGATGCAAAAAGCCCTGAACTGGACTGTAAGTAGAGACAGATCTGGGTTCTAATCCTAGCTCTGC